GGCAACGCTTGTGGGTCGTTTTCAGCGAATGTCGGTGATTTTAAAGTAATTTTGAGTGATAAATAATTTTTTTTGCGATACTTGCACTTTCCCGGCGGGCAAATGCAATGAAATTTGTACTCTCCTGACAATAAAAACTACTTGCCCCGGGCGATGGTTAACATTGAGTCCTGACATTGCTAGCACTATAGAATTTATCAAATGTCATTTACCCAGAATGCATTGCAATGTAAACATAACTAAACAGCAAACAGTTTATTTATTTATTTTTTACTGTAATGTTTTAAGGTGGAAAATGAATATTTCACCAATAAAGTCTCTTGTTTCATTTAATCCTGGATCCTTTTAAGGTTCAACGTGTTGCTTTCAGTTGTTTAAAGCAGAACCATTGAAGGAGTAAAATGTGTTTTGGTCTGTTTTAGTGTCCCAGGCATTGCGGGAGAACACCTACCCGTTCCTGGCCATGATAATGCTGAAGGATCATAAGATGACGGTGGTGGGCAGACTGGAGGGCGTCATCCAGCCAGAAGACCTCACCAATCAGCTTACATTCATCATGGAAGCCAACCAAACATATCTGATGTCAGAGCGTCTGGAACGGTACTACAACCGTCTGCTTTGAATTTTAAAACTTCCTCTCACATTTAACAGGAAGTGGATCTATTCTTGTAGTGTGTGTTCACAATTTCAGTTCCATTGTGTTTAGAAAAGGGAATAAGAGAGCTGATTGAACCGTCTGCTCTCTGGGAGGATCCATTCTTGGAAAACGTATTAAACACAGTTGTGAGTTGGAAACGCCCCACAGTGCTCTCCTCCTTGCTGCTCCTGTCGTCCATTTTACATCACCATTTCCCCACAGTTGCAGCATTTAGGGAAGGGTGTGATATTTATAGATCTAGTGTAACAGATGGTTTATGTTTTAGATGCATCATTCATGATAGAAAAGTTTCACAAAAGGATCAGATTGAGCAACATCTCTGTGCTCAGTTCAAGCTTCCTGTTATCTTGCTCTTTATTTGAAGTTGTAACTTGAAGGGGGAGAAGTGACCTAGTGGATCGGACTTGGAATCCTGAGGTTCTGAGTTCGAAACCCACTCCAACAGACTGCCACTCTGGGTCCCTGAGCAAAGACCCTTAACCCCACTCTGCTTCCTAAGGGGATGGTTTAAATGCATAGAGTGAATTTTGTTCGTTTCACCTTTTGTCTGCAAAAAGAACAGTTTTATGTCTGGAATTTTACATTTATGACATTTATGTATTTTCTCTAACTTACAGCTGAAGTTGTTTTCCTTCAGTAACATCCTTTTTTGTTGATTTTTTAACTATTGTTATTGTTATACATTTTTTCTAAGGTCCACATTCGTGTGACCGTTTCTCTATAATCTTTTTGCTGCTGCAAACACAACAATTTCTACATTGTGGGACAATAAAGGGATGAGCAATGAGCAGTGTTATCAAAACCTACTACTGCTTAACTACATATAGAGTTGGCTGAATGCTGGTTAAAGACCGCCTGTTTCCCAGTCAGGATAGTTGAGCTGGAAAACAGCGGATTGCTAATTGGATGGTTTCAAAAAAGGTGAATTTGTTTATATGTTTGTGTGTGATATATATACACACAAGCACACACACAGCCTGGTGGTTAGGACGTAGAGCTTGGAATCCTGAGTGTTTGAGTTCGAAACCCACTGCCACTCTCTGAGCCCTCCGATTGCTCCAATGGCGCCCCACGATGGCAGCCTTCTGCTCTGCAAGGGGATGGGTTAAATGCAGAGGTAAATTTCTCCAATGTGAGATCAATAAAGTTCTATTATTATTATGTTTATTTCAGAGAGGAGAGGAACCAGACCCAAGTCCTGAGGCAGCAGCAGGATGAGGCCTACCTGGCCTCCCTCCGCGCCGATCAAGAGAAAGAGAGAAAGAAACGAGAGGAGATAGAGCAGCGGAAGCAAGAGGAAGAGAAGGTCCGACAAAGTGCTCTGGCAGAGGAAAGGAGGCGAAGGGTGAGTCATTTTTCTTCTTTTATTGTCTTAAAACACTGGAGATCGACCTATACGGGTTTTTAGGAACAATACAGATTTCAACGTCAGTAAATCGGGATATCTGCCGCCAATTTTCTTCCTCCCTTTACATGGAAAAAAGTGACATGACGACAATTGTTACAAAAATATCAGGTTAAACAAAAACAGTTTTACTCCTAAATCAATGGAGGGAGCAGCTCTGCATGTCCGTCACTTTACCTAAAGGCATGGCTGCTGAGCGCACTAATAAATCGGCCCATCCCGATACAAAGAAAAAAAACTGGAATATTGTATGGCCCTTTTTCCCATCTATCTCTAGAAACTGCTCTGCACTTCTATGCTGTCTTTAATTTCTAATCCACAATGTCTACAGACACTGGAGGAGGAGAAGGAGAGGAAGTCGGAGTGTCTTCCTCCAGAGCCGCCGGCCGATGATCCAGAAAGTGTCAAAATAGTGTTTAAGCTGCCGAATGATACGAGAGTAGAAAGACGATTCCTGTTTGGTCAGTCTCTGTCGGTGAGTAGCACTTGGCCTATTAAACATAAAAATCAGCAGAGATCACCAGTGGTAAAGAAATCTTTCTAGTTGTGAGCTTTGGGTTGTTGGCGTATCCGCTCAGCTGTTCTCCTTTTGCAGGTAATACACGACTTCCTTTTCTCTTTGAAAGAAACTCCAGAGAAGTTCCACATAGCTACAAACTTCCCCCGCCGAGTCCTGCCCTGCCTTCCAACCGAGGAGCAGTCCAACCCACCCACTCTGAAAGAGGCGGGACTCAGCCGCTCCGAGGTCCTTTTTGTTCAGGACCTGACGGACGATTAATAAATGACATACCTCTTCCAAGTGGAAACGCATTTTCCCCCTAACACCCTCCCAGTTTGTTGTTTTCTTTTTTTTTTTTTTTTGATATTTTGTCAAATGGCCATAATGCTTAAGGAATCATTGAGATAAAACCTTCTCCTGGAAAATGAAACCATCCTGCATCCAGTCCACCTTTAGCTTTTTACAGGGTTCCCCAAAAGTCTGGAAAGTCTTAAATTTTATCCAATAAATATTTCTTCAAGTTGTTCCTTGAACTCATTTTATGTTAAAAACACCTTTTCCATCATCTTTATAGCTGCCATCAATCCTCCCTCCTCAACTATAACAGTAGCTTATTGATGCCTGCTGACATTCACTAAAGCAGTAGCATAACTTTGTTCACATCCATCTTTTTTAATGATCGTTGGGCTACTAAGAGAGCTGTTTTTTTTATTATATTAGAGCAGATGCAGCATGGAGACGATTTGATTTCCACGAATGTGAACGCCTTGGCTGTTTCTGTTACTCCTGTTTGGTCCGTTCGTCCCATTTTGCAAACGGTATTTTTGACAAGCACAACCAAATCTATCCATTGAGTTGAGTGCAGAGGGGATTCTCAGTTCACACTCTGAGGGGGGGGGTGGCGGACACCTTGCAGAGGGAAGATGGTCGGATCGGGGCAGGAAAGAAATACGGGAACCCTGTTTGGAACGAGCCATTACCTGTACATAAGTCCAATATTTAACATCCCCAAATTGACCTTATTGTTTCATTTTGTTTTGACTCAGTCTGTCATTAAATGACCAAATGCAGGTTTGTTACTATGTAAAGCAGACTGCCTCAATCCTATGAAGTTTAAACACAATATTTAACAGATGCCACAGCTTTTACATGTGGCTGTAACTAGTGTAGTAAAAGTCAGCCCATAGTGTGCCTGTGGTTACTCATAGATGCCTGTTTTTTTTTTTTTCTTTTTGTTTTTTTTTTTGCCTGTAACACCAGAATGGGCTCATGTAAAAGATGTAATTTTCCAGCTATAAATTAAAAATGTTTTAAAAATGTGGGTTTATTGAGATTATACAGAGACTCTGTGTGGTGTTGGCGTCTTATTTGTTCTCGTCTGGTTGGTGAATGAAAGAAGATACAGGCTTTAGTCATAATCAATGTTTTTTTTTTTTATTGTAGTCATGTCAAGCCTCTGTTTTCCACATCCAGACTTGTTGAATAGTCTTAAAATATAATTTAAAGAACGGGTAATAATTCAAATGCATTCTGAAATAGGTTTGAATAAATGCAGGAATAACATTTAGAAAGGCCATACCCTGGCATCCAATCTTTAAAGGAAGTTAGTTCATCTTTTTTCTCAGACTCATTTTATCCACACAAAGTAATGCATCCATTCTTGATTCAGCATAATAAAGGGTTTCTGCGGGTCATTAAAAGTCATTAAATAATTTTTTTTAATTAAGGCCTTAATTGGCATTAAAATTAATTAAATTTGATAATCGTGGCATTAAAATGCTTCGGAAAAGAAGCTTGAGGCGGACAAAAGGCTAGAGAATGGGGGAAAATGCATATTTGAAGCAAAACGAGGAACTCGGGACATGGCTATATATATATATATATATACACATATCAGAATCAGAAATACTTTAATATTCCCAGAGGGAAATTAATTTTGTTACACGCTCCAGTTACAGTTTTATATATATATATATATATATACACACATCCAACTACAGAATAGAGATAAAAATTAAGAATAAAATATGATATAATATATACACATATAGCTCTTCTGTATATATATATATATATATATATACATACACTCACCGGCCACTTTATTAGGTACACCTGTCCAACTGCTCGTTAACACTTAATTTCTAAGCAGCCAATCACAGGGCGGCAACTCAGTGCATTTAGGCATGTAGACATGGTCAAGACAATCTCCTGCAGTTCAAAGCGAGCATCAGTATGGGGAAGAAAGGTGATTTGAGTGACTTTGAACGTGGCATGATTGTTGGTGCCAGAAGGGCTGGTCTGAGTATTTCAGAAACTGCTGATCTACTGGGATTTTCACGCACAACCATCTCTAGGGTTTACAGAGAATGGTCCGAAAGAGAAAAAACATCCAGTGAGCGGCAGTTCTGTGGGCGGAAATGCCTTGTTGATGCCAGAGGTCAGAGGAGAATGGCCAGACTGGTTCGAGCTGATAGAAGGGCAACAGTGACTCAAATAACCACCCGTTACAACCAAGGTGGGCAGAAGAGCATCTCTGAACGCACAGTACGTGGAACTTTGAGGCAGATGGGCTACAGCAGCAGAAGACCACACCGGGTGCCACTCCTTTCAGCTAAGAACAGGAAACTGAGGCTACAATTTGCACAAGCTCATCGAAATTGGACAATAGAAGATTGGAAAAACGTTGCCTGGTCTGATGAGTCTCGATTTCTGCTGCGACATTCGGATGGTAGGGTCAGAATTTGGCGTCTACAACATGAAAGCATGGATCCATCCTGCCTTGTATCAACGGTTCAGGCTGGTGGTGGTGGTGTCATGGTGTGGGGAATATTTTCTTGGCACTCTTTGGGCTCCTTGCTACCAATTGAGCATCGTTGCAACGCCACAGCCTACCTGAGTATTGTTGCTGACCATGTCCATCCCTTTATGACCACAATGTACCCAACTTCTGATGGCTACTTTCAGCAGGATAATGCGCCATGTCATAAAGCTGGAATCATCTCAGACTGGTTTCTTGAACATGACAATGAGTTCACTGTACTCAAATGGCCTCCACAGTCACCAGATCTCAATCCAATAGAGCATCTTTGGGATGTGGTGGAACGGGAGATTCGCATCATGGATGTGCAGCCGACAAATCTGCGGCAACTGTGTGATGCCATCATGTCAATATGGACCAAACTCCCTGAGGAATGCTTCCAGCACCTTGTTGAATCTATGCCACCAAGAATTGAGGCAGTTCTGAAGGCAAAAGGGGGTCCAACCCGTTACTAGCATGGGGTACCTAATAAAGTGGCCGGTGAGTGTATATATATATGCATATGTAAAAACTAAATCCAAAAAAAGTAAATATCCAACTAAAGTGATATCTATCTATCTATATATATATCTATATATATATATATATATATATATATAAATCATGGGTATTTGTTGATGGCATTAAGATTATTTCTAAGAGCATTAAAAAGCATTTAATAAGATTTACTCATTCATGTATAAACCCTGTTATAGGAAATGTGAATTGACAATGTAAATTCATTACATTTTTAACCGCTGTTCTTTACCAGAACGTAATAATTGATGTAATTTAGTCTCTTTCTTAGGCCTGATTTGTCATGAGGTTGGGAAGATTCCAACATCTTAATATACACAGAAATGCTTTATTCAAAATGTTTCTGTTGAGACGATTTTCCTAATTTTTCAACTAAGTAAACTTTTTTTATTTAAATTATTACACTCTGATTGCTGCACCGGTAGCACTTGCAGCCAATCGAGGCCACAGCCTGATGCGGCCACCATCGTCTCTAGCAGTTGGTCTGATCTAGAATAACCTTGACTAATCAGATGGTTCATGCATCCTAAATGACTGTAGGACATTTCTCCAAAATGTTGGGCTTGTTCCTACTTAAATGAGCTTCCAAGTGTGGATTTTGAGGCTCTGCCTTAATTATTAGCCTAACAGGCAAAAATAAAGTTGAATTTGCTTGAAGTAAAAGTTAGGTGGAGAGGATTCTCAGTTATGTTTGAATATTCATATCAGTTGCCTTTCATTTAAGGGATACTGTAGAAGTCAGCTTGGGAAAAACTGGTCTTAAAATGACTCGACGATGAAGCTCTATAATACTTTGCCAATAAGTTGGCCCTTTCAGAATTCACGGGAAGTGTATGTCTGGAAGCTCACAAATTAAAATGATGGTGCATTTTATATTAAAAGCACCTTTCAATGACGGCAAAAGAGGAATGAAAAACAAAAACTATCAATTTGGTCAAAAGGGGAGCGTTGCTACGGGTCATTCATCCCTGCTGCGGCCAGACGCTGAGATTTAACACTACAACGGCAGTGGCTTGTGCAATGTATAATCTGCAATTGTTTATATTTGACACCCGGTACAATAATCCATCTATATGAATACCTATTTAAACTATGGGGGATAAAAAGTGCCAAAATTAAATAAATAAATACAGCATTAAATAAATAATTAAATGTGTCAATACTTAATTAAATGTGGAATTAAATAAATAAATGTGTCATTCATTAATTAAAACCACGTCACTAATATAAAGTGCCACAATAAATAAATAAATGCAGCGATAAACAATTAATTAAATGTGTAATTCATGAAATAAATAAGGAATTAAATATATAAATGTGTCATTAATTTAATAAAATATGTCTTCATTTTATAAAAAATATATAATTATTTCAGTGTGCATTTAATTATTTCATGGTCCTGTGTCGCAGTGCATCGAAACCATTAAAAGAATCTGTCAAACGCACCCATCAAAGTTAGGGGGCGGTTATCTAACACCTGATTGGTCACCCTGCACATTAAGGCGAAGCAAATCGATTACAGAGCGAAGCAAATCGATTACAGAGACTCGATTCGCGTTAACCCCGCCCCCTAACTTTGATGGGTGAGTTTGACAGATTCTTTTAATGGTTTCGATGCACTGCGACACAGGACCATGAAATAATTAAATGCACACTAAAATAATTATATATATATTTTTAATAAAATGAAGACGTATTTTATTAAATTAATGTCACATTTATATATTTAATTCCTTATTTATTTAATGAATTACACATTTATCGCTGTATTTACTTATTTAATTGAGGCACTTTATATTAGTGACGTGGTTTTAATTAATGAATGAGACATTTATTTATTTAATTCCACATTAGTTAATTATTGACACATTTAATTATTTATTTAATGCTGTATTTATTTATTTAATTTTGGCACTTTTTATCCTCCATATTAAACACCCAGTGCAATAACTATATTTAAATATTTATCTATATAAATACCCATGTAAACACCCAGTGCAATAACGTTTGATGATCTTAATATAAAAAAAGCTGTCTTTTTTGGAGGTGCTTTATATATCCCATGCATCTTCTTCTTTGACTATTTGAGCTGATGTACAATTGAAAAACAATCTAGAAATACATAAAAAATTCTTAAATTAAGTGTATTTACCCTTAATTTGAGTAGGTAAATGAGATAGTTTGCCAATATGAGTGTTTTTACTCTTAAAAAAAGATAGATAAGATGCACTTGAAATAAGACAATGCAATTGTGTTTTCTTATTTTAAGTGTAAATTGTCTTGTTCCATTGGCAAGAGGTCTGTTTTACCTCCTTAATCCAAGAACAAATGCACTTATTTTAAGAAAAAAAATACTTATCTAGATTTCATTTTTTTCCAGTGTAATGCGTACATTTCTCCAGTGAGATCAATAAAGTCAATCAATCAAATATCAGGTCAGAAGCTAAGGGACAATTAACTCAATTTGGGGATCAATCTTTTTTTTTGTGCCTCTCAAAATAATCTGTGAATCAGGGAAAAAAAACAAACTTATGCCAAAACTTTTATCAGCTGAGGTTGAGTAATTCAACTTTGGACTAAAATGTTCTAAAACAATCATTTAAAAGCCCCGAATTAATATTGTTTTAATAGTTTTTTTGTGTGTTAAACACTTCCAACTAGAACAATTAGGTTAAATCATCTCCCAGATGAACTGAGGACCCCGATATTTATCAACTGCAAGGCGGAGACAGATGCCATGTTGGTATACATAATACATTTATTAGTGAACAACCCTCTCAAATCAGCCACAATAAAAAGAAAAAAAAATGATTGCACTACTTGGTAAAGCATAACTAGCAACTTTCATTTAAAAAAAGTACAAATCTTAAAAATTTCAAACAGTATACAGATGTATATATAATACACTAACTAGTTATGTTAAATGCTACAAACAATATGATTCCAATGGAATGAAAAATTATAACATTAATACGAACCATTTCCTATATATAATATATATTAGTAATTTTCTTCCCCCAACCTCGCAAATACAAACATGGAAAAAAAAAAATAAAATAAATGAGGTAACTGTAAATGTGCAAGTACCAAAGCAAAAAAAAAAATATTTTTAATCTGCCTAACCACAGAAGACATGCCCACAGGCCCTGTTGGTGGGTGGGGTGAATCTGGTGTTCAGGCAAAAGGACCCCTGGAGGCAGAGGAGAGTAAGAACAGTAAACCACTATCCCACCACAGCAAAAGTATCATTGGTAAACATAAATGGCATCTACCGAGCAATCAATCACAAATCCTAAATAAACTTTAGCTGCTTATTTGAAAACCTTTTATTCATTTTTTTTTGCACAACACAAGCTGTGAGATTATTCATTTAACTCTTAACAGAAAGACTACAAGACTCTATCTTTAGTTATAATTAAAATTAGCTCATTTACTAGGCCTTAAATGGAAGGTTCTTTTTATTTAACAACGTTTTCTGGATACTGTCAATTAAATATATTTTTTCCCCATAAAGGAATAGTGCTAACATTACCATGAATTAGGGTATCTTCTATATGTGAACAATACATTTTTAAAGATATTCATACACTGAGAGCAAAGAGCCTGATAGGCAGATACAGTACTACACTGAAATAAGTATGACAACACTTTTCTTCTTTTTTTTTTTTAAACTTTTTTTTTGTTTTTACTTAAATCCCTTAAACTATATTGATTTTCACTGACGTTGTTTCGGGGTATTTGTAATAACATGCTTTAAGAATACATGAAATCCATGACAAACTATTGCATTCACGCGTGTGAGTTTTCATACCTAAAAGCAGAACATCTAGCACCTTTTCACTATGGCTTTTGATAAGACTACAGTAGTATCAGAGCATGTATTTCTCAGTCGTTAGGGCAATAACAGTAACACGATGTAAGAACTCGTTTCTTTTGCTTCTTTTTTTTTTAATGTCCCCCTATATAAAATGAAGTTAGCGCAATAAAATCTTGTAGTCATTCAGTTCTATTACAAATGTGTGCAGTACAATGCATGGCAGTTATCAGCTGAGCGTTAAGATCCAAACTCCCAGAACCCGAGCTAACTAGAGCTAAAGAAAAAAATCAGTTGGGATCTGGTAGACGAGCATGCATATTGTGCACCATTAAATAGGTCCCCCCCACCAGATTTTTTTATTTTTAAGATATCCTCCACTGTAACACTTTAGTTTTCTTTTTAAATTCATGCAAAAAAACACATCTGAAGTCGATTTAGGAGTGACTTAGGTAGGATAGAGTGCTCTGTGGCACGTTTAAATATGGGATCACAACTGCTATGTGTGAAAATATGGTCGGAGTACAAGAACGGAAGTCTAATGGGTTTGAATAATACACTTGTAATGAGTTATCTTCTTTTCGGTGAATATTGTTAACATACTTGATCTTTTCTTGCATGCCTGTCTTTAAATGGTGTAATATTTACTATTTCAGACGAAACAATAGAATAATTGGTTACGATAAATCATTTATGGTCGAAGAAAACCAACCAAACTGAATTCAGATATACCCTTTTCATGGCATCCTTTCCATTTGAAATAAATGGACTGCTCATATCTATTTTTTTTTTTATTTTATTTTTTTTTTATATACCGAGAGGCCCTGAGTGATATTTTTTTTTTTAAACTTACAATATATGCCAGCAAATAGATATGTACACATAGGTTAATTCTCAAAGCTGTGGGTTTAACTCATTTAAATGGCTTTTTTTTCTCTTGAAGGTGGCACACGTCAAAGACTCACATTCACTTAAACAAAAGTAAAGAAAAGGCAAGAATCCTTTACACGTCACAGCAAAGGCTCTCACTGCCTGTTAGTGCTCACCGGGGCAGGCAAAGAGACCAGAGTAAATCACAAACATAAGTTCATTCGTTGCTCTTTCCCCTCCTAACCCCTATTTGTCCTGTTTTTTTTTTTCACGCCTAACACGAGCGGGGGGAGGGAGGGAGAAAAGGGGGAGAAGTCCTACAGTGTTTCTACGCGACTGAACACTCCAGCTGAATCTTTTTGGACTGTGGGGAAACAAGACAGCAGTTGGTAACGTGGAGCGCCACCTTATAGACTTCTAACATTCTTCTGTCTTCGAACATTTATCTGAAAGGATCCACACTGAAGCTGTACATACAGTTGCTCTTTTATAACACCGTTAACCACGGCCTAAGACAACGACCTGACCAGATTAGGACACCTAATGCAAAAAATCGTTAGCGCTTCAACGGTTTCCTTCAATTGATTTTTTTTTTCCCTTAAGGATAAAACCAATAAATAAACACGTTGTTTTCTTTTAAAAACTATTCAAAGAAGTGAAAAAGGAAAGAAAAAAAAAGGTATTTTTTTAGGATTAGTAACAGGTTTGTGCTTGTCAACGTCATAAAAAGGCAGATCTGAAATGTTTTTTAACAGTAGGCTAAATACATATATTGGATTTGGCTCACAAAGAAAGAAATAAAAAGCCAGTCTTCCTAAAAGGGGAAGAAAATGTCCGCTCACAGCACGTATTGCTTTCCACACACTGGCTTCCAGAACTCATCAGGATCGGCGGTGCCTTTGGACGAGCTCTTCCTCTCTTTCATAACAACCAGGGTGTAACCACATGCTTTTTTGTTTTTTTTAAACCCCTCCTTGTGGTGCTTTTTTTTTTTTTTTTTAGGTGAGCAAGTTCTTTTTTTTTTCTAGTATGCTATCTTTTAAAAGTGAATCATTTTGGTGGCAATGCTTGATAATATTGCTAGTCTGAATCAACAGTTCATGCAACTCCTAGCATGCTGCCCTGTATCCAGTGGTTACACAAATGCATTGGCTCTGAACAGGACAAACAATGTGCGCACACACACACTCACACACACGCGCGCACACGCTCACACACAATGCTGACATGGAGAGAAGATTGTAGCACTTGTGCAGTTAACGGCGGACGGACTCGACAATCCATCACTGCTTTCGAACAGATCTGTTTTCCGGAGAAGATCACGGGGGTTTTAAGAGTCCCCCCCGCAGCTCCAAGTCCCGTCACTTGCAGTCCATGACCCCTGGCTTAAACAGAATCTGTTTGCCGCTGCAGCAAATCACACTCTCCCCGACAGCTTCGGCAAAGTTTTAAACGATTAGGAGGAAAAACTATTAAAAACAATTGATACGTTATTGCAGAACATACATTATTAACAGGTCACTTTGCCAAACACCTAAACGAACATGCATCTCTGATGGTTAAGTGTCGCCTCTGAACACGAATACCCACGCTGAAGTACTCCTAACATTTTTCTCCTAATTGCACAAGGCGCCCAAAGCCTGTCATCCTCCAGGCTTCTGACTCGTCTCCTCCAATGCAGGACTTTGACTTTTTTTTGTGAACGCCGCCAAAATCCACAAATGGAAAAAAAAAAAGAAGAAAAAAAAAAAAGAGGAAACCCTGTAAACAAAAAGCAGCGAATAATGCATTGCAGGGAAAATCTTTGGAATCTGCAACGTGTGGGGTGGGGGCAGAGATAGAAGTGGCTGGCAATCCCAGAAGTCGGGCTGTAGGCAGTGGGTTTTTGTGACAGACAACGAAGCACATCGGAGAAAACAACGCACTCCAACAACAGTCCTGGATTTCTTTATCGTCAACTGAAGGGGCAGGAGTTGTGGGTTTGTTAAGCTATATTTACTGGAGGACGCAGGTTATGTGGCAGGTGTCCCCAGCTTTGAGGCAAGACTCTGGTGGGTGCAGCTTTTCCAGTTCAGCACTCAGAGACTGGCCTCACTCTGCCTCTCGGTGCACGTCCGAGGCATCCGCTCGACAAATTGGACAAGTGCGATTGGTCTGAAAGTATAGAAAGTAAAAAATACAAACACTGACTATAAAGAGAAAAGTACGGTGGCCCTGAAGTGCAAACTGCGACTACAAATCTAAAAGCGCAACTACATTAAGAAAAACGAAACTACATAAAGCAAAGCGCAACTACATTAAGGAAAACACAATTACGTTAACCTACCGGAAAAGGTAGGTACCAGTGGGAAACATGAGACATCGTTGATTGGACGGCGGCGCCGTTTGACCCTTGAACTGGAAGTCATTCTGCCTGCTGCGGCTTTTGAAAACATGGATATTGTCGGCGCCCCAAACATAGCTGCCGTTATCCAGGAATATTTTGAATCATATGTACGAGGTGATACTGGATATGCTCAAGACTAATCACGAAATTTCAGTTAGTTTGCGTACACTGAAGACGCACTTAAAAGAAGCTGGACTGTTCAGACGACGCAACTTCCGGTTCAAGGATCAAACGGCGCCGTCGTCCAATCAACGATGTCTCATGTTTCCCACTGGTACCTACCTTTTCCGGTAGGTTAACGTAATTGTGTTTTCCTTAATGTGGTTGTGCTTTGCTAATGCAGTTGCGCTTTGCTTTATGGACAATATCCATGTTTTCAAAAGCCGCAGCAGGCAGAATGACTTCCGGTTCAAGGATCAAACGGCGCCGTCGTCCAATCAACGATGTCTCATGTTTCCCACTGGTACCTACCTTTTCCGGTAGGTTAACGTAATTGTGTTTTCCTTAATGTAGTTGTGCTTTTAGATTTGTAGTTGCAGTTTGCACTTCAGGGCCACCGTAGAAAAGTGCAAAAATGCACGAAATTTGACTGAAAATTACTCACCTTTAACCATTTATCCACACATTTAGCGTGGAACTCATGGTTACAAGGTAACACTCGAAGTAGCTGCCGACACTCAAAGTCACTAAAGCACACAACACACCTGTGGGGAGGAAACCAAACATCAGTAAAGAGAGAATCTGCTTTGAAGGATGCGGGAAGCGTGAGAAGAGGCTTACAGCGTCTGTTCAGATAGATGATTCTCTGAGTTGAATCTGTAGGATGGAAGTTGCTCTATATCTGCTTTCGTGAGTCCACGTGGTTTTGCTTCACCCAACCTCTCTGCCAAATTTAGAAGTGCCTTAAGAGACAAAAGATGAGGGTGAATTTAGATCTGCTGCATTAAAGAATGAACAACGGGGGATTCTATGAATCTATAAATATTTTTTTTTCAGAATAAAAACTTTCAAGCTTTGCATGGAATATTTTTTTAGCAGGTTTAACCCAGAATTGTAAAAGTTTAACTTCGATTTTTACATTAAGACTTTGAAGATTATTAGAACCAAAGAATGTAAAGATCTATGAAAGTCAGAAACCAATGGAATTAGTATTTTTAATCTTAAAATAAGATATTTAGATGAAATGCACTTGAACTAAGACAATGCAATTGTGTTTTTTTATTTTAAATCTAAATTGTCTTGTTTCATTGGCAAAATGTGTCTTTTACCTCCTCAATCCAAGAACAAATGCACTTATTTTAAGAAAAAAAATACTGTTGTCATGTCTCCTGGTTATTTAATACATATATGTTATAAAGTGTTATTTAAAGAGTTTGTCCCGAGTGATCTCTTTTCAGGAAAACGAACAGGAGAGAGAAAGCTTCAAGGTGTAGCCATAGAGCATTGACTCTAACAACTATCGCAATGTGTTTCTGAATTTGTGTTCAGTACGATATAAATCCAATATCAAGATAAACGACAGAAAGACAAAAATTGCAAAGAAAGCCCAGAAAAGATTCCAGTACAAACCTCTGAACCTTATTATGCAAATAAGAAAAGTTAAAAAACAATCCACTGGACTTTGTTTCCAAGTTTGAAGATGTTTCGCTTCCCATCCAGGAAGCTTTTTCAGTTCAAACGTTCATTCAAAAGACATTTTTGAATTGAAAAAGCTTCCACGATGGGAAGCGAAACATCTTCAAACTTGGAAACTAAGTCCAGCGGATTGTTTTTTTTTTTTTTACATTTTTGGAATGACTACGACCTGGATGACTGAAGATCTTTACCAGCTTATTATGCCAAGTCCATGAAACTCCTCCAACAGGACTTTTTAGAAATTATTCCTCACTTCATGGCTTCTTGCCCCTTTCAGTTTATCCATCACTGCCTCCTTTATTTTCTGGTTATTACCTGAGTTTTAAAGACGCTACAAGTTACAGGCTAGTAACTAGCCCTAAAGCTATAAACTAGAACTTCCCAGTTAATTCTTTTAAATCCCACTTTAATATAATCTAAACCAATCTAACTCTTATTGACACTGTAGGCAGTGTTTTACAATGAGGTGCTTTTTTTTTGTTTTTAATCATCCTGTTAAGATTTCTCCCCCTCTATCAGTCATAGTCTTGACCTCTGATGTTCTGTCTTTCTTTTAGTAAGCAGCCCCATCAGATACTCTTCTAATACAAGACCTCAATTTGCTTTAATGTTCCTATTATTAAAGCTGATTTTTTTTTAAGCCTAAACTCTTCTCAAAAGGCTAGTATGATGTGTATGAATGTAGTGTACACATCTATATTCCAAAACGGAAGTATAAGGTCAGAAAAGAATGACATTAAAACAGTTATTGCTTTTAACAGGAAACAATCCCATCTAGAAAACAAATATGCATGCGTAAAGTTTCAACCTGGCAGCTGTTAATATATAAATAGACAGATTCCCTTAAGCTGGGTATACACTGTAAGATATTTTCAATCGTTGCACGTAGCTCAGTTCACAGCTTACGATTTATGTTCTCACACTGTGCGACCCGACGCGCTGATGTGATCTACCTGCTCACATTGTAAGCCTAAAAACTACATCAGACTCAGCTCCGCAGTGAGATGGTGCTACTCGGACTTGTCTATCCGGAAACGTGTAAAAGAGGAATCTGAAGCTCACTAGAGTGAAACGTGCTGCCATGGCAGTTTGTGCAACTAAAAAGAAAAGGCGACGACATATTTGGACAAAGACATGGCGAGCAAACGTGGCCAATACGGTCTGTCGATTATACAGAAAGAACTGCATTTCACTCAAACCCCGGCCATGCATCTGTGTTTTCATCTGAGAGGAAGAAGAATCCTTGTTTGCGCACTGAGCGCTTTGCCCACGATGGCCGACTGAAAATCAAACATGTTTGATTTTCTCCTGAACTCATGATTCCTGATGGGGAGGTTGTCCTGAGAAGCTGATCGCCCCTCATGCCCCCGTGTACACTACACGACGCACCATTAGGCTGAAAGTCAGCCCAATCGAAAAACTCTCGAAAGACTGTAGAATCGACCTGAAAAGTGTAAAAATAATAATAATAAAATAAAAATCGCACACTGTAAGCCCGGCTTAAAAAAAGTAAAATTTAGAAAGTACAGACAGTCGATAGAATAGATCTGCCCACATGGATCAGATCAATTTTTACAGATACTAGAATACTACTGATGTAGAATTTTCCTCAATATCTAGTCGAATGCCGATATTTCTTTCTCCGTTGGTTTGGTTAATTTCTTGAAACAAAATTTAAGTCTCAAAATAACAGATTTGGAAAATTTATGAGCTTTTGCAGCTAACTACTGTGTTATGTTAAACTGGAAGACTGTTTTGACAAATACTCTGAGTTTTCAGAATGTAATTTCTGTTTTAGTAAATGAGCCACACAAACAGAGAAAAGCTGTAATATTGAAACAGTGCATCTCTAGCTGTAAAGTAACTAAACATATAAAAAAAGAAAAAACAGCTCTGTGGATACTTTTCAGATGCACTGTGAACGCTCTTTGTGGTGTTATCCCTTATAGAAGTTAACAGAATTACATCAGAAGTAAAATTTATTTACGAAGAAATCAGCACGGAAGATCAGAGAAGACGCAATGCTCAGCTGCCAATTACCCTTCAAGCCTAATTAGATTGTTTAAAACAATGTAGCTTGGATTAGCCAAATTATGTGATTTAAACATTTATACTGAGTAAAAAAATCCCCTTTATCATATGCTTGGCCCTCAGCATCACAAATAAACATGCATTTAATTGACCCATTTTGTTTCTCCAAAGCTATATATATATAAAAACATAAAACACTAACTTCATAATTTTCCATCTCCACATCATCCACATCCAGGTCTAAGCTGATGGCTGGGCCCACTGCTGTTGGAGGCACAGGAAGCATTGACCTGAACAAAGAAGAGAGGCAATACCTACAGTGAACACAGAGTCCATGCTCTGCAGAAATGACCCCTTCAAATGATGCACAATGGAACTTAGAAAGACAATAAGGTGATCAACAGATAGCCAGGTAAGAAAAAAGAAGAAATAAAGTTTTAAACTGTGATGTAATTGCGATTTTGTACGTGTCATATCCGAGAACTGAGTCCTAAATTAAACCTACATGTAAATAGCAAATTCAATTTAATAAACAAACCTTCATTGCAAGTACTTACAGAAAGTAAGGGAGGAAACCAGGGTAGTAAGACGGAGGTGGAGGAGGAGGGGGGAGGGGCTGCTGCAGCCGAAATCTTTGTCCATTCACTCGCCGTGGCAGCATGTGGGGATATGGCTGAAAAAGAGATGAAAAAAAAAAACTGATTTTAACAGTTATCCAACTTTTTTGGTTAAAGGTATATTACAGGATTTTCTCCATTTTGTTTAAAAAGACCCACCCTGCCCAATAAAAAAAAAAAAAAAGAGGGAACAATTATTAAACGCCTACATAAACATATCACCAGAATTATTGACAATTAGGAGGACTACTTATTTTGATGATCCACCCGGAAAAGGAACATCCTCCACTATAGCTTTAAAGCTAAAAATAAACCTGTCATCACCCTATACTGGCTAATTTACACCTTAATAAGCCCTGAATGATAACATGTTTAGAAACTCCTCACAAACAAATAACCATATATGTCATAATTATTTATGTCTGTGAGACTTGGCTATTATTTGCTGAAACAAGTGAAAGCTTTTCATAAAAGATTGAATATTAACAACAAAAGACGGTCGGTACAAAAACTGAAGACATGCTTGGACTTTCATTGATTTGATTAAATTTTTTTCATTTATTAAGGGAAAAAAATAACGTATGGATATGCAAATAAAGTGTGCACATATATGTATAAAAGAATAACGAAAAAGAAAACAAAAAATACTTCATGTTTAAAGGGGGCAGAAAGAAGCAAATGTTAATTTTTTATATAATTACAAAATTAGAAAGCGATAATATCATTGATTACGTAAAAAAGCAAAACAAAATCCTCCTTTTTAACCATCATCCTTATTAAGTTTATAGTAACAATGATGGTTGCAACATTCAAACCAAAACATTTATAGTAGGACTGTCTAACGATTATTTTGCAAATCGATTGATCTGTCGATTATTTTTTCGCTTAATTGATTAATAATCTGATAGCCAACAGTTCCTTTGGACTTTTTACAAAATTAAACAAGGTGAAACTAAAACTTTCAATTGAGAAGTTCTAGATAAGGGATAACGAAAGACGAAAAGGTTATTTGATCTTAAATGCAAAATATTTACATATTTTTTTTACAATCTTGGTATAATTGCTTCTCAAGCTGGGTTTCCCTATAAAGACACGTTTAGAGTCTATACTCAAGCTAATGATTAATCGGTTACTAAATTATTTGACCATGAGTCAATAATCGATTAATTGTTTCAATCCCAATTTATAGTAACAGTATCAGTGAAAACTGTTAATGATGAATAAAAAATATGAATAATGCTTTTAAAAATCACTTAAAAAACTAAATGTATTTACCTATTTAAGAAATAGTTCTTGTATGAAGGTTTAAAGATGTGTATTGGGACATTGCAACTCTTTCCTGTAGTTTTCACAAAGTGTATAATAAAGTCTGTGTTCTGTAGTAAATCATATCTCTCGTCTCACAGGCTAAAATTATTTTGGTTTGAGAGGATCAAAGGCTCGGATTTTTCTGTCTGAACATCATCATCATTAATCCATCTTTACATAATATGAATAAGCTTCATGTCTTTTTAATGTTTAAAAAAAATCTGACTAAAAACAAGAAAGAATGAAGGATCTTGTTTACTAAACTATTTAGGTTAAGATTATGTTATAAGGAAGAAAGCTATGATTAGTTAAAATACAGGGTTCCTACAGCATAAGGCAAGATAAATTCAAGACTTTTTAAGACTTTTTAATGCCACTTGAAATAAAAATTTAAGACCAAATTCACAAGAAAAACCTGCTTGCGACAACTTAACCCAAAGGTTCATTTTAACATAAACTACTGCACTAATGTTTCAGATTTTGAAAAGGTTCCCATACAGGAAGAAAGCTAGAAACACACAAATGACAGATATATTTTAACAATTATTTAACTGAATTCACAAACTTTGTTTTAGCAGGGAACAAAACAAATCAGTTTTAAAGCCACAACATAACCAGTGCTAAGTCTTTTTTGCAGCTATTTTTCTTTGTATGGTTTTCTTAGTATGTTTGATTTGGCGATAAGTGGAGGCGTTGCAGAGACAAGGGTGGAACTAAACTGAGAAATAGCGGCTGTTTCTCTGTAACTCGATTTTGACGCTTTGTGTTTCGTGCTTCGCATGTGTGACTCCACTGCCTTAATTCCCATCGTTCTGAGCTTGAATCGCTTCTTGCATAAAATACACTGTACCTCATATATGTTCCCTGGTTTTAGCCATGGAGAAAACTCTTGGCTGGAGACAATTTTGGTTACATTTACACTTGTTCATATTTTCCAGACCAAAAGTTAATGGCACATCTCCTAAATGTCCCGGCCGCAACAACGCTTTTATTGGTTCCGCTATCGGGATGGAACCAATAATGACGAGCCGTTATTTAAAAAAAAATAATAATAAAAAAATTGTCAATTTTAACGTTTTATTTAGATTACAAAAATAAATCATAATAAAAATAATCCTATTTATGATGTTTTAAAAATTAAGACCTACAAAAGACTGATTTAAGACATTTTAATACCAATTAAGGCCTTAGTTTTATTTTGAAGAATTCAATGCCTTTTAAGACTTTTTAAGGACCCGCGGGACCCCTGAGATAAAACTGTGCCCCAATATTAACTGAACTAAACCCAGTGCAATGAAAAGATGATGAGAAGAAAAACTACAAGGTGAGTTTAAACAACTTCTTTCTGCCCACACTGTACCAGTTCAGTGGCTCAGAGGAACCATTAAGAGATTGGTGCTGCAGTGAATGGCTTTCCAGCTGTGAATCTGAGTTTCAGAGCACGTGTTAAATAGGTATTGCTAATTGCAAAGTCAATTTCCTTCTGGAAACAAAAAATAAATAAATAAATAAAAAAGTAATAAAAGAGTGGCAGGCCGTCTTACCACTCCGAAGGGAAGCTCCTGATGCAGAGGCTCTTGAGGAAGATACTGTAGGGGCAGTGAAGGAGGCAGCGCTGGTGGATGATGAGAGGGAGGGTAGGAGAAGGTGCCCAATGGGTGCTGGTCCCCTCTTAGGTCAACTTCATTGTCTACCCTCTGTAGAGGCTGTCAGCAGAGAAAAAAACGTATTATCAGACCGCACTAACACACTGGCTCAGAAGCTGTTGAAACATACTAAGACTTGCTGTGTCAATATTAATAAGTGTTTATGCTGCTCACCATGCGTGGGTGCTGAGGCTGTAAAGGGACAAACTGGCTCAAAGGAGTAAGGTGCGGCGGCTGGTGGGGGGGTACAGATGGGGTCGGGTGCAATACAAAATGTTCGCTGGACATCAGTGGTGGGAAAGCTTGAAAAGACACAGGTATATGCTGCATGGTGCATGCCTGTATGAGCTGGGGAGAAAAGACAATAGAGCAAAAACAAAAAATGACTTTCAGAAAAGAAGGAATGCAGATAAAGCTACTTTACTCCTGATATTAACAAGAAGGAAGCTTGAATGAGAGCATGTTTAAGCATGTGGTGAAGAAAGGCAACACAGTGCAGAAAAACCACACCACTGACAGGACAGTCACAACACTAGGCTAACAAAAAAAACGATTCCCAAAACACCCCATACAGTGCCCGGCTAAAGTATTCATAGGACTTGAACTTTTTTAGACAAATTATGACCCAAATTTCCGTCTATGTGATCAATATGGAGGCATTTCAGACCCAGTAATCAGGGCGATAATCCTGCAGTGTCTGTTTAGACCAATCAGGTCTGCTTTGTAGAAAGCTTTGATCGCACATTATGGAAACCCAGCAGGTTGGATAATCTTGGCCCCATACCCTCAAATATGTTTGAAATTACATGAAAAAGAGAAGAATATATTTTTTCATGTATAAGGGAAAAGTGGGGGTGCTCTGATAACCCCGCTTAAATGTTTTCATAATTGCAAAACAGTTTATAGTTAACATCAACACAACAAAAAATGTCCAAACTTGCCAACGAAAAAACTATTGTTTTTATATTGTAGTTAGTATTTGCTGATTTTATGACTTAAAAGAGCTTTATGTTCAGCTGAGCTGTATTTTCTCACTTAAAACATCTTAAAATGACTTTTTCCCCACTCATCACAGTGAATAAAGCAGAGCCAATCTCTAAATTGATTCTGCAAATGTACACAGAGACGACGTCGGTACATTTTAATCGCTGCGCTTCAGGATCGCCAAATACTGTGTTCTGTCAGACAAGCATACCCATTGTAATACGCATGCGTGCGCATGCACAAAGGGAAATTTAAACAACTTCTGTTACATTTGCAGATCAGTATGACTATCTGAGAGTTTAGCTGCTAAGTCAGGGTGTGAAGTAGTGAACAGAAAAAGTGAGGCTCTCTGTGTTTAAAGCAGTTTAGCTTTAACCCTTCCAGGGAAAGTTACCATTTTTGATCAACTGCATACCCCTTACAAATGGAGTCCCACTGTCCCTCAGTGAGGTCTAGAAGCACAAGATCTATATCCAGCCATTCAGCAAAGATCCTGCTACATGGCTGTACATCTTATTTTGGAATTTGACCAATTAGATGAGCCCTTGAATGATATATTACCTACTGTAAATGAAGTTGGAAAGAAAAAGTTAGGTCAAGAATAAAAGGTAAAAAGCTAATTAAAAGTTAAAAAGTAAAGTCAAAAAGTTAATAAGCATAGTTAACAAATATATTTAGGTTTATAAACAAAAAAATGTAAGTTGCAGTATCAGTATTAATGCCTCTAAGGTGATGCTGTACCGTAAAAAAAAAAAAAAAAAAAAAAAAGTGTTTCTTTCACTCTCAGAGTGTTTTTCATGAATTTCTTGTAGAAGCACTTTTGTTATTTGGTTGGCATTTCTTGTTATTACATTGAAATGAATTTTTGCCATCAAAATATCCATAATTTTTTAATGTTACAAAGGCAATAAGGTCTTGTCCCGGATTCCAATAACACTATTGGATTGAAATTTTGATTTTCAAAGTATTTCACTGAGCACCATATAAAGAGTTAATTTCTGTTTACGTCAGACAAAAACATTTTGTTCATTACATCACTAATAAATAAAACAGCCTACCTGACTTTCGGTATGTTTCTCTGGTAAGTTTGTGTGTTTACCTTCAACTACAACTTTTTTGTTTGTTTCACATATAAATAAAGTAACCTAGTAGACTTCCTTCTACTCATTTTCACAGACGGATGCAAATCTGAGGTCTTACGCATGCATATTGACCATGGGTATGATGGTCTGACGGGGTATGCTGATCTGACAAAACACCGGCTCAGTTGTACAGTGTGGCTGGAGAAACACACTGTACAAACAAACAGGTCTATTTTAACTTTTTTACATCATGTTTGGGTTTAACATCTTGCTGTGAACCAAGTTTGATGTATTGTGATGAAAAGTAACTTTACATTTCTACATTGTATCCCTGGAGCATACTATAGAAAATATTCCTAGATCCTTATTATGCCACTTGTTCTCTAATGTTGTCTGACAAACTGACATTTTTGAAGGACTCTAAATATCCTGAGATTAAATGACACAGAAGTGGATAAATTAGGGGACTTTTAAAGCAGCTAAATTATCAGAGTAAACAATAGCCAATTACAATTTCACACTATTTCCTTATCTATTCCAAGTCACTTTTTGTTGATCTACCGTATAAAATAACAACAAAATATAAAAACATTTCTGTCTGCAATGTGAAAAAGTTCAATTTCTATCAATTCTTTTGCAGGCCACTGTATTACGCTTCTTCACAGAAAACAAGAACATCCATTGTATTTTTGCTGAGATGCTGTCAAATATCGAAGTTATTAAAAACCAAGCAGCTTGTTTTCTTTTTCTTTTTTAGCCGTGAACACTGACAGATTGCATGGCTGGTATGGTTTGCTACATGGATGCCACTGACATTTAAGCTCTTCCTTTTCAAACTCACAGGAGGAGGAAGGCAGCAGAGCAGAGAGAGCTGTCCGCTGAACATTACCGAGCATGCTGGGAGTTGCTGAGTGTTGCACCCTGGAAGCGGCTGCCCGGCATGAATGGGAAATCCATGGGTCGTCACCGTCGTAACAGTGTAAGATATTGGAACAGATCCCTGGTGCATCTTTATAAATGAGAAATAAGGGAGGGGTCGGTGGTAGAGTTTTATGAAGGGTTTGTTTAGATTTAAATAAAAATGTGAAGTCATTTTCCCGTGTTATGTTACCTGGTCATGTAGATCCACCATGATGGGGCTCTGCTGGGGCAGGTGGGCAGCAGGGTGAAGCATGCGTGGTACTGTGCTGGTGTGGCTGTACTGTCTGGACTCATCTAAAGAAACCTGTTGGGGGTGTTGGGAGAAAAAGAGGTGGTGGAAGTTCTCATCCTGGATCTGGGAAGTGTGCTGTACAGGTCTGTCTCGTCTCCCCCACTGGTGTCTCACTGGTGGGCTGAAAGGTCAGGAACACAAATTAGATTTACGTCTGCAATCCTTCAGCTGGCTGCAAAACAAAATAAAGTAATACACACAAACATATGTAGAACCCCAATGCATTTATATTGATAAAATAAAATAATAATAACAAATTAAGAGCAAATTCCGCAGATTCTTTGTGTCACTTAAATTTAAGTGAAGCGCTTAAAAAAAGTGCTCTACTTTGCTTTATCTCATTATTTTCAGCTCAATTCATAAAATACCATAATTTATTTGCATACAGGCAGCCATATTTACAGCTGCATTATGTGGTTAGACTAATTTAACCACGTTTAATTGGAAGAAATGTGACTACAGACCAAAAAAAAAAAAAAAAAGATGATGCTTTTACTAGATCACCTAGATCTCCAACCAATTCCTTAAACAAACATTACTCCACCCATAAAACCCCAATGTTTATAAGCAGCTTGTGTATACCTAGGTTTTCTGTTATAGTCCCCCTAAATCAATTTTTGCAGGAAAAGATGTGACAAAAATAAAAGAGAACGAGAAAATCACCTTCTCCTGAGATGCACTGGGGCGTTGCAGGGCTCTCCGAGAAACCTCCTGGGGTTTAAGGGGGCTGTTGGTGGCAGCCTATTTACTGCTATTTCCCATGGTCGCATTGGTGACGTCGTGCAGACGAGTCACACTCTGGGGAAGGAAAGTGTACAGTGGAGGCACTTGTATGTTGCCTCTGATTGTCTTAACCCTGGTGTGGAAAAAAATACAACAAAAAAACCCCACCACAAATGAGCAACCATGTGCTTCAAACATATTTAAAATTGGACATAGGACATTAAGTGTTGGAAACAAAAGAAAAACTAAATAAAACTCGAGATAAAACTACACTTAGTCAATTTGTACATCACTGTAATAACACCATCCCTCAATTATGACAACATGACCCCCCCACTTTGAAAGTAATAATGTTTTACACCTAAATGGGGATAAGAACACCAGGGAACAACAGTTATGTAGCAATTTATATGACATGCATTATAGTGTGTGAAAAAAAGCACTAAAATGTATTTCCTCTCTCCCACCACATGGTAATACTCATCTATATCACATTTTGGTTTAAGATGCAAGTAGCATAGCACTACCTTAAAGTTTAAAGGAATAGTACACCCAAAACATGATTAGCCTTCATTTTCTACTCACCCCCATGCTGAACAACACTCTGGAGTACTTTTTTGATATC